TGTTTTAAAATTTAGCCTAAATTTTGTAACATTTTTTACAGTTGGACGAAAAAATAAAAATATCCATACGAGATATTTAAAAATGCACACACATGCATTAATGTTTGTGAAAAGGAACCACTTTGAAGGAATTCTGCTAATTGAATCAAACATATAGTGAATGTGAAGCGTGGCAAGATATGCAAATGGTCAGAATTAACACGCAATTGTGCATGAGTGAAATGAGAAACGGTCGCTTGTTCCATATACACTCATGTCCATAAATTAAGGATAATGCAAAATCAGGCAAAGGAAGAGTTAGAAGCAAAATAAATTTGACTTCTTTGTAAAGCTTATTTATTAAACAAAAGCTAAAGAGCAAAAAAAGATGCTATATGTTTGATATCATTAAAAAAAAATAGCGAAATTTCTCTCTGGAGCGAATAACAAAAAAAAAAAAAAACCTATTTACAAAAAACCAATATTACATGGTTGGTATGATTGTTAATACATTGTAAGTCTCCCAGACGATGCAGTAGAATCCGTACAACGCCTAGGCATGCTGAGTATCAAATTATCGATCTGATCTTGGGGGATATTACACCACTCACAAAGCAATGCTCTCCGAAGTTCCGGTAGACATATAGGAGGAGTTTGATGGGCTGCAACTCGTCGGCCAAGCATGTCCCACACGTGCTCTACTGGATTCAAGTCCGATGAGAATGCTGGCCAGTCCATACGGGAGTAGTAACCGCCCGTACTCGTGCTACGGAACCAATGACATCATCAGTTTAGGCGTGCTTTTACAAAATGGCATCGGGAGGATGACATCACCTATTCCTGTTTGGGCATGTTATTTTTCAAAATGGCGTCTGCCTTATTACATCTTTATGTGCTTCCGCTTAGGCGAACGAATACATTTTTCTGTGGACTAATCAGATTCTCTGAATAATGGACCAACCGTCTCTTAGCCAATCAGCATTCAGATGAAATAAAGAGTTCCTACCTGATATAGAGTTGTCACGAGAAACGTTCAGCATTTCTTTCCCTGCTCTCGCCTTGAGTGTACGCACATTTTTTGCTTGGACGATCCTTGTTATTTTCTTCATCGGACTTTTATCTGTTTCTTCTCCGCTTCGAATATGGATCAGCTAGGAAACAACAACGCTGCAGAGGTAAGTTACTTTTCGAAAACATACTATTTTTTAGAGTGTTAATCTTTTAAAAATTTATTTGTGAAAGTGCAATGTGGGCTTAATTTGCCTTTTATTTTTCAGATGGAAAATCTATTGGAGAAAGAATCCATGCCTTTGAATGATAAAGTGTTGAGCCATGATGTTCCAAGAGAATCAGATAGCTCTTGTGCCAAAAGAAAAGCAGAAGAAACATCCCATTTCGAGAAAAAAGTACGTATTTACGAAAAGCTTATAAAATTTTTTTATTTTATTTTACCTCATTTTTATGTATGTTCTTTTATCTGCCAACCGACTTACCATTTTTTTCCTTTTCAGTGCAAAGGACTCTTTACCGAAGAGGCTACTCCAAAGGAACTCACTCACATGGGAAACAATGTCTTTGTGGGACCCAGCATTTACAAGGGAAAAGTGACTGTGCACATCCGAGAGTATGCCAAATATGGTAAAGCTTACTATCCGACAAGACGAGGAGTAAACTTTGAGCCATGGTGTTTGAATGTTCTCGTAACCATCATGACAGTAGAGGAACCAGACCTGCTGACACTCAATCTGGAGTTACCCAAGAACTTTGTAGTTACATATAAAGATGACCACTTCACTTTGATTCAACTCTGCCCTGGAGGAGAGGAAAAAAGTAGCCTCAGCATTACGACTACGCAGTGGGAAGAACTGCTAACAAACTTTAGCCGTATCAGTGACATTATCACCAACCTCGTTTATCAAAGCATGAACTTTTGTGAAGCTTATGAAAGCGTATCCGACGAACCTATTAGTGACAAAACTCTTCCAGAATCCTTCGATCTTTCTATGGGAAAAGCATGCCTTCAAACTATTCTAAAAACATCGCTTGAAGAGCTCCTTCAGCAGCAAGGAGAACTAAAACATCCCAAGCTCATAGACTGTGAAGAACTCGCTGTTCATAAAACAGAAACTGTGAATTCACTTGCTGTGAGATTACATCCTATAGACATTGCCAGACAATTTTATGGAAATATTTAAGGTGAAGAACCCTATTTAATGTTATTGAAACCTGCTCACTATATCACCAAGGACTTTTTAAAATCTGTATGTTTAACTGATGTATTAAACGAAGTAAGAGAAACTTTTTGTCCAACAAACTTAGAACAGTATGGTGCCTTTGGTACTGAATATTATGAATATTTGTAAAAATAGATGCTCAATAAAATGTTATTTTATTTTACAATGGCCTCATTCTTTGATTCAGACAATCTTTAAATGAAAAAAAAGGTATAGTATTGTATTTGTTACATATAGTTTTTATTTAGTACGAACTTATCGATTAGAGAGAATATAAATATGGTTGTTCGTAAACATATATATCATTACTTGTTCAACCTTTAAGTTGTTATGTTCATTTTCTTTCTTTCTTGTTTATGTCATATTTATAAAATCTTTATATAGGCGAGTTATTATTTTCCTGTTAAACATATATAAATGAATATCAATGCACGTTTTGATCATAATAATTGTTGCAATGAACTCAGCTCTAGCTCAGACCTATCGGGATCCTCAGGTCCCCGCGAGTTTCGGGGGTGTTGCTGCTTTACATCGTGCTTTAAAAGATCGCGTGAAAACAAAAGACATACAGAAATGGTTGCAAACCAAAGATTCTTATACTTTACACAAACCCGTGCGACACAAATTTCCCAGAAACAGAGTCATCGTCGGAGGCTTAAACGAGCAATTTCAATCTGATTTAGTAGATATGCAATCGTTAGCCTCATTTAATAATGGGTACAAATATTTACTGACTTGTATAGATATCCTTTCTAAATATGCCTGGGCTATTCCTCTCAAAGATAAAACATCGGTGTCTATCAAATCTGCTTTCGAAAAGATATTTTCGGAACGTACACCCGAATCTTTGCAAACAGATGCCGGGAAAGAGTTCACCAATAAGCAAGTTCAAGATTTTTTGAAAAAGAAAAACATTCACTTTTTTACGACACATAATGCAACCAAAGCTTCTGTCGTGGAAAGATTTAATCGCACCCTTAAAACTAAAATGTGGAAATACTTTACTGAAATGAATACACGAAAATATATTGATGTTATAGATCAATTGATATCCAGTTATAACAATACATGGCATCGAAGTATTAAGACGGAACCCTCATCGGTTACATTACAAAATCAAGAAAAAATTTGGAAAACATTGTACGATCAGAAATCAGTAAAAAAACATGTTCCTACCGATTTAAAGATTGGAGACACGGTGCGCATCAGCCGAGCATAAATGCTGTTCGAGAAAGGATATGAACAAAACTGGACAAGAGAAATTTTTACAATCTATAAAATTATTCGGAGGACTCCTGTCGTCTACAAACTGAAAGATTTAGCAGGAGAAGTCATACAAGGTACCTTTTACAAACAAGAACTTCAAAAGGTTTCCGACTCTGGTTATTACCCCGTAGAAAAAGTTTTGAAAAAGAGGGAAACGTCGAGGGAAAGTGGAATATTTTGTAAAATTTCAGGGGCACCCCGAAAGCTTCAATGCTTGGGTAGAAGATGTTAGGATGCTAGTATAAAAGGCCTGTACATTCTGCTTACCTCTCATTTGAAGAAACATGTCTTTCTTTATCACACTGATCAGCGACAGCTCCTTGCGCTTTTTCCCAGACAACAAAATATCGCAATTTACTACCCAGCTTCCTACGCCGATTGATTTAAATAATCAGTGGGAATTATCTCTTGTGGACTTTATTTACCCTCACACGTGGTATAAATCCAAATAAATTGTTGTCTTATACCCTCACACGTGGTATAAGACAACAATTTATTTGGATTTGATTTAGAAGATGGAAAACTGGAAGGGAGAAGAGTTCCTCCAGGATGTTATGAAACGATACCAGATTTATTAAAAGCCATGAAAATACCCTCCCATAAAAATAAGATTGAATTCAGTTATCATCCTGTCACGAAAAAAGTGACCATTAAGACGGACGAAAAATGCAGTGTCATTCTTCATGAAGGATTAGCTGAACTTTTAGGATTCGAGCCTGGTGTTTACAAAGGATTGGAGCAAAGTCCTTTTGTAGCCGATCCAAAAGCCTCTTTTCCTGTCATGTATGTATATTGTGATCTCGTAGAGCCTCAAATCATTGGAGATGTACAAGCTCCGTTGCTAAAAATTGTCACGGTGGAAGGAAATGATGGGGATATCATAAACGCTCATTATCCCAGACCCTTTTACCTGCCAGTCATTCGTCAGCAGTTTCAGACTATACATATTGACATAAGACTTCACTCTGGAGATTTAGTGCCGTTCGAAAGAGGCAAAGTATTTCTTGTATTGCATTTTCGCCTCAGACAAATTCTATAAAAGAAGCATCCATTTGAAAATCCATTTCATTTGAATTGTGTATGCAAGAATAGAAGCATCAAAATGAGAGTGCCTTATACGTGTTGTACGAAAAAATTTGAAGATTATTATGTAGCTCAAACTGGAAATGGGCTACCTTACTATCAAGGAACCATTTTACAGAAAGGTTATGGGATTGGTGGATTTTTTGCAAAACTGTTTCGCAGTGCCATGCCTTTTTTGATGAGGGGGGCAAAGACAGTGGGAAAAGAAGCTTTACGGACTGGAACACAGATTGCGAACGACGTATTGTCGGGCGAAAATTTTAATGTGTCCCTCAAAACCAGATCTAAAGAAGCTGGAAAAAAATTAGCGAGGAAAGCAGTTCAGAAAGCAGACGAGATGATCGGTCATGGAAGGTTTAAAAGGAAGCGCAAAACCCCCAAACGCTTCATTTCGTCTAAAGCCAGGAAGGTGCAACGACGTGATATTTTTGACTCGTAATGGCTTTTCTGTTAAAAGATTCTCCAGAATGCGCAAAATCCGAATTGGATTTATTTTCGTTACCTCCCACTCAAACAGTGATAGAAAAAGGTCAGTGGGTTGAATTTCATCCATTAGCCAATGTGTCGGAAGGAAGTCCTGTTGAATTCAATGTTTCTGGAAGCGGAGACGAATACTTTGACTTATCACAGACACAACTCTATGTGAAGGTGAAAATTTTAAAAAGTGATGGCAAGCCTATCACCGCTGAAAGTAAAGTAGGACCTGTCAATCTGTTTTTACATTCCATGTTTTCACAAGTGGATATTAGTTTAAATGAAAGACTCGTTTCTACCAGTAATAACACTTATCCCTACAGAGCCATGATAGAAAAATTACTGAATCATGGATTTGATACGAAAACTTCGCAACTTTCATCAGAATTGTTTTTTAAAGATACAGCAGGACGTATGAATGTTTTTGATACTCAAGATACTCAGCCGAACGAAGGATTCAACCAACGAGCAGAATTGTTTAAACTGAGTGCCTCAGTCGATATGATTGGCCGGTTGCATTTGGATATGTTTCATCAAGAAAGACTTTTGTTGAATATGGTGGATATGAAGATTAAACTCATACGCAGCAAACCCGAATTTTGTTTACTGGGAGATGGTGAATTTAAAGTCGTACTCGAACATGCTTCTTTGTTTGTAAGAAAAGTGAGAGTTAGCCCTGGTGTTGTGCTAGGACATGCAAAAAGCCTAGAAAAATCAACAGCCAAATATCCCATTCAAAGAGTACTATGCAAAGCCTATTCCATTCCCACTGGAAATATGACTTTTATTCAAGATAACATTTTCATAGGCCAAATGCCTAATCGTATTGTGGTGACTTGCGTCGATAATGATGCCTTCAATGGAAACTATAAAAAGTCTCCTTTCGAATTCAAGCATTATAATATGAACTTTATCGGCGTTTATGTAGATGGTCAACCGGTACCTCATAATCCTCTTCAACCTAATTTTGAGAAAAACCATTTTATACGAGCTTATCAGAATTTATTTACAAATGCAGACGACCGAGGACTTTACCTTTCAAGATCAGAATTTTCAAAGGGATATTCCTTATTTCGCTTCGATTTGTCACCTGATCTTTGTGATGGCTCTCATTTAAATCTGATTCGACACAGCAACTTAAGATTAGAAATAAAATTTGACAGTCCTTTAGAACAAACTGTTACCTTATTAGTGTATGCTGAATTTGAAAATTTGATAGAAATCAATAAAGCTCGAAATATTCTGTATGATTTTGGAAACTGATGAATTCATCACAGATTCATCAAATCTTATCTCGAGATCCTATTTCTTCGAGATATTATGCGGGTATTTTCCCATCTGACAAAATACCTGTGATTCAAAATTTTCCCTGTGCACTGGTGCTGAATACGGACAAACATGATGAAAAAGGAACTCATTGGCTAGCTGTCTACCTTGCAGATCAACAGACTCTTGAATTTTTCGACTCTTATGGACTCCCTCCTGAAGTATATGGAGAAGATATCGCATCCTTTGTCAAGAAATATCGTCATGTTCGCTGGAACAAGATTTCGCTTCAAAGTTTAACTTCTAATGTATGTGGACAATATTGTATTTATTTTATTATTAAACGATGTCAAGGACTCTGTATGGAACTCATTGTATCACCGTTAACCGGAAAGAATTATGATTTCCGAATATTTCAATTTGTCAAGAAAAGATATGGTGTAAACATGATTTTTAAAAAATAAAGTTGTTTTAATTTAATTTGAAAAATTGTGTCTTGTATTTCTTTTGTGTTGTTTCTACATATATTTAAACAAAACTCGTGTAACAACAATTTAGATAACACATTTTGGGGTATAAAAGGGCTCTCCATACACAGTGTGAGCACAGTCTGTTAAACATCACGAACATGGAAAGACAAAAAATTGTTGTTGTTATTTTAGTTTTGTGGATTTTTTCAAGTATGGCCCTCCTAATTTGGACTCATCTCCAATGGACATCTAAACAAGATTTCAACTGTTTTCAAAATAAAACAACACTTGACATTTATAAAATTTATCAAAAGATTGATTCAATAGGTTTTATCAAGTGCCACGAGTTTTCCAATTTTTATTTAAATCACACACATTGCGGAGAAACAATTTGTGAATGCGTTCAAAGCTCTTTAAATGTTTTCAAAAATCACTGTTTGGAATTTACGAAAAATATTGTGGATTCAAGGAGCGAATGTCTTCTGATTGCCAATATACTTAAAGGCTGTTTAGAGATTTTCTGTAAAGTATAAAAGTCAATATTTTCTTGTTCCTGTCATTTACAAAAATGGAACTGCCCAAGTTAGTACACCGTTCGACTTGTCTTCTGAGCGGACCCACAGGATCGGGAAAAACATTTTTTGCGAAGAAATTGATAGATCATAAAATGTTCCATCCTATGCCAACTCATATTATTTATTGCTACGGCAGTTATCAACCTCTTTTTAATTCCATGAAAAATGTTAATTTTGAAGAAGGATTACCATCTAACCTGCAGACTCTCCAAAATGCTTTAATTATTATAGACGATTTAATGTCTGAACTAGCAAGCGATACCCGTTTAAGCAAACTTTTTACAAAAAGAAGTCATCACTGAAACCTTTCAGTCATTTTTATAACGCAAAATTTTTTTCACCAAGGCAAAGAGATGAGAAATATTCATTTAAATTCCCATTACCTTGTCTTATACAAAAATCCTCGAGATAAAAGTCAAATTATGCATTTAGCTAGACAAATGTTCCCCGGAAAAGTAAAGGCCTTTCAAGAAATTTTTCAGGATGCTACTTCAAATCCTTTCAGTTACTTGTTGATTGATTTACGACCTGAAACAAGTGAAACGCTTCGCCTTCGTACAGGCATCTTTCCTGGAGATAAATGCTATGTCTACCAGCCCCGATAGTTCATTTCAGTTTGAGACGTCGAATGGCTAACATGTCTTCTCCCATCGTGATCGATTTCGAAGGTTTTCAATGGATGCCTCATTGCTACGTTGTTAAAGAATTAGCCTTGTATTCTGTGCATGAAGGATATCACAGTTGCTGGTCATTTTTACCTCCTCAACCTTGGAAAACATTATCACGATCTCAGCAAAAGTGTTTTGCTTGGGTCACAAGAAATCGTCATCACATGAATTGGAGTGAGGGTGTATTACCTTATACTCACCTTCGTATTATTTTGCAATATTTGTCATCTGTTTACTCTGTCATATACGTGAAAGGGTTAGAAAAGAAATTATTTTTAGAAAATTTATTAGGTAGAGACATCATAAGTTTAGATTGTCCTAAGATAGAAAATTTAAAAAAGAAAAGTTCTTTAATATGTTCGATTCATGCAAAAGGATTTAATTGCTGTGCTTTAACCAAAGCAGCTGGATTTGCGACCTATATAAAAGAAAGTGTGCAAGAAAAAGAGCTCATTTGTCATCAGAATGTCTCATCAGAAGGATGTGGATTATTTAAAATTGTTAGGAAAAAGTCGGACAAAAGCAGCTCTACCGAAAAAGTGCCCAAATCATCTCATCAAATCAGTTTGTGAATGCGTTTTAAATCTTCTAAAAGGAAACGTACCCATCACAAAACGCGTCAAAAATCGACTCACCCCATTCAAAAGAACTTTAAGAAAGCTAGCGGACAAAAAAGTACCTCTTTTTAAGAAAAGGCGTCTTTTGGTTCAAAAAGGTGACGGTTTCCTATCTTTCCTGATTCCTGCAGCTGTCAGTGTCTTATCCTCTCTTATCCATGGAACACAGTAAGAAATTTGCGCTGGTACCCCTGGATCGTATGCAGCAATCTGAAGATGAACATTTGAGTGATTTAGACACACAAATTTAAAACATCTTAAAAAAGAAAATGGACGATGAAGAAAAGTCTAAATTGTACATCCAAGTTCTGCAAAAGTATGTTACATTTCCTCATGTGAACACTTCCGAAGAACAACCGCCTGTACAACGTTCTGAGAAAGATATAGAAAAAGAAATTATGCAAACAGTTCCTGTGAAGCAGAAAAGAACGGCACAGAAAATAATAGATTTTCTAAAAGAGCATCAGATTTCCTGGACACAGAATAAAGAACTCATTCTGGATGATCATGTGTTTTCTGGCCCTGACATTGTTCAGTTGATAAACTTTCTGTTGAGAAATAGAACTCAAAAACCTTTTGCCTTTGAAAAATGTACTGAATGTTAAACACTTTCCTCAAGACTTTGTCAAAAACAAACATTTAATGAATGTAAAAACTATGTATGCTAGACCTAAAAGAAAATCCTCTTCGCAGCTGTGGCTAAAATTGTAATGACATGTGTAATACTTTGAGATATGAATAAAAGTTAATTTCTGATTATTTGTGTTATGTTTTTCTTTCTAATTAAACTAACATATAATAATAATTTTTGAAAAAATATAACAATTTTCTTAAAATAATAAAAACTTACCTTTCATGCCATTCTTTGAAAAAAGAAAAACACCATAATTTTCAAACTTCTGTTTATTTTTTTTTATCTAAATAAATTTTTACACGCACAAATGTGCATAAATATCTTTTTACAATACATACATACATTTTTACAAAAGTTATTTTCAAAACCCAAATGGTAAGGTGGTCAAGTCCTGTTGGATCACCCTTTTATCCAACACAATTCTGTACAGTTTTGTTTCCGGTTTATTCACCACCTTTCTTCTCTTCGCTTCTCGGGTGATTTTGCAGGGGTTGTGGAGAGAGATGATCTCACTTCGGTCGAGGCTGCAGACCAGACTTTTAATGGCTTCAAAATTCAGCAACTGGGAATTCCGGAAGTTGTTCAATGAAAATCCTCGGACTTTGCAGCAGGTTTTCCCAGTGGCCAAGTCTGGTATGCGTAGTTTTTCGGTCCTCCTGAAAAAATAAAACATCATGAGAAAAAAAGAGATAATAGAAAAAAACATTAAACATTTTTTGGTACATATTAAATAAGGAAATTTTTAAAGGTGTTTACCTGACACGAAGGTTTTGATAACATCTCCATCCAGTTCGTCGGTAAATTCTCCTAAGAAGTTTCCTAAGGGGGGATCGTTGCAACCATTCAAGGCATAGATGATGGAATCTGTGTCGTGATACAGGACATCTCGACCCAGCTTCTCCATTTCACTATACAGCTTGAGACGAGCCAAGCTGTCGTAAAGTTGCTAGAAAAATGTTTGGTCGAGGCATCCTGCGGTACAAACTCCTTTGAAGATTCCCAGCAAATGGCAGCCACCTCAGGCGTGGGAAGAAAGACATCCTTGATCTGAAAATAAAAGAAGAATCATAAGTTAACAGTTCAAAATAGTTATGAGTTAACAGTTTGAAAAACACACTAAGCTTATAGATGGATAAAATCGATAAGAAAACTTACTTTTTTAGTAGGATCCGCCAACATCTTATTAAAGTCTGGCACCGTATGTACGTAGGTCAGTTGCGCTTTGTTGACGTTCATGCCCCATCTGAAACAAAAATTCAACATAAATCACAAAGAATTAAAAATGTTTACAAAAAATTTAAGTCCAAAAGAAATCATCTTACCTGCCCCAGAAACTGTTTAGGGCCAACTTGGCAACTTGTCGACGCCCAGGGTTCTTGGAAATCTTTCCAGCGTCCAACTTGACGCCCTCTCTTTCTTCATACTGGCGAATATACTTTAATTTGTCTTCAGGCGTCACACACTCCGAAGGCCAACCGCTACTTTCCTGTTTGATCTTCAGAAAGAGATCAATGTAGGAACGAAACAGGGAAGTAGACGATTCTTTGAAATGATAGACTTCGTAAATCTAGAAAATAAAGAATAAATTTCAGTTATGACAAAAGATTTTAAATAAATTTGGGTTATGACAAATAATTTAAATAATCTTTGAATACTTACATGTGTGACGCGGTAACCTTTTCTTTATCGCCAGCTTGACTTCTTCCGATACCCACGTTCCGACAAGAGCTCTTTCATCGTCTGTGTGGGTACAGGAAGACTGAGACTGTAGAAAGGCACAAGTCCGACACAGGGGGAACATGAGCTTCTTCCTACACCGATAGGGCAGTACCGGGAGATAGAGGTTCCGAGGAGGAATCACACGGCACTGGATAAGTCCAAAGTAATTTTCTATATCCCCAAAGCTTTCCGTAATGATTGTTGGATGTCCTACAGGGTAGACGCAATATTTGTTCACCTGTGAAATAAAAAAAAGTCAAAAAAACATACATAAAAATCAGAAAAAACACATCATCCATGAAAAGGTTTTAAAATAATAAAAAAATACGAACCCATGGATAGAGGGATGTGAAATCCACATATTTAGCGTCTCCCTCGTGGAACAATTTGAGGGCATTGGTCCGTCCTCCGAAAAATGAGTCTCGAGGATTAAGCCGGTCCCTCAGATGGTGTTGCTCCAGGAAAGCTTGGAGATCCGGATTTTCCTCTTTTTCTCTCTGAAACTCATGCTCCCACATTTCTATGACGTGGAAACCCTGGGTGCGAAGCTTTCGTGTGGTCTCTTCTGGTTTCTCCCTCAAGGTTGCCATGGAAACCCCTTTTAGCGGAGGAATGGCATTCCCGTCATAGCACGAAATACACCCGTACATAGCCCTAAAATAATAAAAATATATTAATAGTGTTCCACATGTAAATTAACATTAAAAGTGTAAAATCATTAAAAAAGAATCACATAGAAAAAGAAATGGTTATATTTTCTTACCTGAAACTGATAGACGGTTTGAGTTGCTTGGCAGAAACCGTCTACCGAGATTCCGGCGATTCTGTGCTCTCCGGAACCATTCAACGCATGTTGAATGGCAATGCCTTCCGAAGCAGCAACAAAGTCCAACCACCGGATCGAATCAGGGCTGTAATTCGTGGAGTTGACGTAGCCGTGTGTGGGTACCATGGCAATCGTGTTGGGCTGAATGTGGCCACTCCGATACGTTGCCATACACGCTGACGCAATGGTCACGTATCTGAAAAGAAATTAAAAGATGGTATGAGATTAGCCAAATAACATAACATAATGATCAAAATGATTAAACAGAATTGAAAAATAACTTACTGGAATGGATCCACACCCGCCACATCCAAAAACTGGGCTCGAAACTCCAGACAACAGCGGCGAAGAATATCCACGTCCGATCTATGAATATAAAAAGAAAATGTTAAATATACGAAACATAAAATATAAAATTAAAGCAAGAAAAAAGGAAAAAACATACCTGCAATAGGCCAGCATCTCGTCTTGAAAATTGAACACATCCCCCTTGTGTTCCTCATGCCAGGACAGAAATGCTTGTCGGGCTGAAGTGCTCATGGTATCCGGGCTGTAATAGTGGGGGTCCGGTAGCGGTCCGACATAACTCTGGTTTTCCCTCGAGTTAAAGAGATGAGGGAAGTATCCTTTCTTTAACTCGCTGAGACCGAAGCACCCCGGTAGTTTGGCCAACGCCATCGGTAAAAAGTTTAACGAGTCTATGACCCGAATATTGAGACTGGGGTGTCTTACACTCATGATCATAGACCCGTTAGGGATCACCTCCGGCGCTGTGCCTTGCTCCAGGAGCCAGGCCATCCCGAACTGCCCATCGAACCTGTAAGTAAAAAAATATTATGAATAATATTGAAAGCATAGTCATAATTAAAGCATGCAAATTATAGGATTTTAACTTACCCTTTCATGTTGTGTGCCACGGCGGTGAAGCCCTTGTGCTCTGTAGAGAACAGCCATACGCAGAAATCTTGGCATGCTTCGTAACCCGGGAACACCTTTTCAGTGCCGTCGGCATACTGAGCCACCGCGAAATTTACGAGATGCTCCCCCGAAGACTGGTCCGTTTCAAAGTCAAAAAAGATGAACTTGTCCTCGGACTTCTTCGGAGCAACACGACGCAAATAACAGAGGTGCTCAGCAGCCACGACAAACTGGCCGCAAGACGGACATTTGGTGGTACCGCACTTATGCAGATCTTTAGGGCAATCCCGCCTCCGGATCACTTGGCAGCAGTCCCTGCACTGGTATACCTGTAACGACAATTATTTTTTTTTAAACATAACAATTTTGAGAAAATTATATGGTAAATAACTTTGTTCATTAAGATATATTTTCAAAAACACTTACTCCTATCGCAAAGTGAAAACTCTTGGTTTCCAGTGAGGGCTTTGTGTGCTGCATAACAGGCATCGGAGGATCGGCAGAGACGGTCACAATCCTGGCATCGTTGGGGCTGGCCTGGAAAGCAATCAGGTCCTCAAGCATATGGGACACGGCATTGGCACATCTATGTTCTTCTACACGGATGATCATACGGGCTTCTCACATGCTGTGCAATAGTATGCTTGCTGGCCAAAAAACCCTTTCAGGGACTTAATCACATCATAATGTCCATCATGGAGCCATAAATTGATCCGTTGTGCCCTCTCTCTTCCTTTGTACACCACCTAAGATACAGCAAGACAAAAAAAAATTCTCTTGAATTCCAAAAAAAATCAAAGTAAAATCCAGTTTTTAACATTTTAATTGCATACATAAAGCGATCTAAAAATTCCTAATGCATTTAACATCGAAAGGAATTACATGCATATATGTTAAAGTAAAACAAAAAAAAATTTCATCGTGAATTCATTTTTTTATAGTTTAAAATTTTAACATCTTAACGAATTGTGTGCATGCATAAAATGAATCTAAAAATAAAAAATTCTTCATGCATTTTTTTTTTACAAGTCATATTTTTAACATCGAAGCGAACCGCATACATGCATCTAAAAATTCTCTTTGCATTTATAACATCGAAACGAATACATAAAAATTTAACGCAATCTAAAAAATTCGCCATGCATTCAGTTTTACAAGTTAAAGTTTTAACATTTAAATGATCAGAAATATATGCCTAAATGTTAACTTTTTTTTGCAAATTATATTTTTAACATAGAAACAAATTGCCTTTGTGCATACATGTAAATAAAATCTAAAAAGTTAAAGTATTCTAAAAATTAAAAATTTTTAAAGTGAAAGTTTTAACGAATTGCATACATAAAATAAGAAATTAATCTAACAATTTTAAAGTAAACTAAAATCTCACTATGCATTTAATTTTTACAAGGTATATTTTTTTAACATCGAAGCGAACTGCATACATTCATGGATTCTATGCGTGAATATGCATAAAATATAATCTTAAAATTTAGAGCAAGTCAAAAATTCACCATGCGTTCAATTTTGACAAATTATATTTTTTAACATGGAAATGAAAAATGCATCATGCAGAAATTTTTCTCTAAAAATCATTCAAAATCGGACATTTTAGAAATCAGTTTTTAACTGCTATATTTTTTAACATGTATACGAATGATATGTATGCATAACAGTTAATCTTAAAATTTAAAGTTCACTGTGCATTTTGTCAAATTATATTTTTAACATAGAAACAAATTGCGTATATGTATAAACTATAATGTGCGCATCTCAAATTTTAAAACTATTCATTACCAAAATAAATTTTACAATTTGTCATATAAAAAAGAAATGAAATCAAATTACGATTTTAAAATAAATATGTAGAAAAAGTTTAGGTAATTTAAGGCTAATATTTATAAGCAGAAATATCTTGAGAAAAACTGACTTTGCAGTCTGAGAAGACTGCAATTTGAGTATCCAGGTGCTCTTCAAATCTGGCAATTTCGGTAAATGTGCAGGGACCTAGAGGCACATTTGCGGCCACATGGAGTTCCTTGGCCCTGTTCACAAGAGCTGGCCGACTGCGATTTCTCATGGCATTGATGGCACTCGTATCTTTTTTCAAATGTGCTAAGGCATACACAATCGCCTTAGCACAGCACAGTCCTTCCTTGTCGTATGGAATGGACAAAATAGATTTTTTATTCAGTCTGTCCATGGAGATGTTTATGACTCTTCGATTTCGTCCAGCACCAACAGGACGTCTGATGGTGATCACGTCCACCGAGAATCCTGCGTCCAGCTCTATTTTGTCTTTGGACTGCAGTACTTTCATGACTGCAGCCAAAATTTTTTCGACTGTGAGTGTCGAAACTGCCATCTCATGGAAGTACTGATGGGTTTGTCCAACCCTTCTGCCTGGATACAGAACCGGATGAGGTCAGAGTGCTCCAAATCTGCAGTTGTCCGGCGAATAAGCTGCTCGAATAGTTCCCGGACGGTGTCGGGAATCCGGACCATCGGGATTCCTTGTGTATCCTGAGGCAGCTGTTCCATGTCCACACTGGCTCGGAAGGTGATCTCCTCGGCCTTGTACTTATGGTTCCTACTACGAGACTTTTCTGTAAGCACAATCGCCTCATCGATCTGAAAAGTAAAAGGAAAAATTAAGTTTTCGGTCACAATCAGTCATTTTCAAAAAAGACATTATTTTAATAAATCATGCAAAAAAGAAAAATATACACCGAATGTTCGTCGGAACCGGCCATATACATAGGACCCCGAGCTGATGATGAAGAAGTCTACAAATACATTCGTTTTTAGTACTGAGAAAAAATATACTAACAGAAATTAAAAGCAATTAAACGAAATTTACTTCAAAATTTTAGTACTAATAAAAATATTCTAACAGGCTCATAACGAAATTTACCTCAAATCCGGAACCCACATGGTAATACAGGGGCAGAACCATAGGATTTTCCATAAAGATTTGATCAACTTCATCTATTAACTAGGAAAGAAAATACATTCAAAATGAAAGAACGTAAGTAATAAAAAAAAATACAAATAGCAAAAAATAAAAAAAGAAACAATAAATTAAAATAAATGCAAATAAATAATAAATTCAATAAATTCAGCTTAAAATTTTATATAAAATATTATAAGCTTACATCATCGTCCGAGTCACGGAAAGGAAAGTCGGGATCTTCAAACAGCACCTAGCAATTAAAAAATAAAATAAATAACACATTCAAAAAGAAATAAAATTCGTTTTCCAAAAATAGTAATTCAAAAGCAGGTACAAGCGAAAAATACTTACATTGGATGCAGATGCAGATCGTTTGGAAGACATCGTGTTCAATATAAATGAAATAGCGCAAGGTCAAAATAACTAAATCACACAGTCGATGTTCACTGAGCAGCAGCTAAAGTAGAAATGATGAAAATCGTGAAAGCAAGCGAATTTATACGTAGCTTAGGTAAGAAACAAGCACACTGATTGGTTGAAATTCGATAGAAAATATTAGTAAAATCTGATTGGTTGTTCAGATTGTATTCGTTCGCCATCGCGGATGTAGAAAAGTGCAAAGCGGTAGGCATGCTCCAACTCGAACAGATGACGTTTTCCCCCCAGCCTAGTGACGTCAGGGTTGTTTTCACATGGACAAGGTCACCTAGACAACGAGATAAGATGAAGTTTAACTGAAGAAACGGTGGCTCTGTGGTATCGCGCAGGACTCCCGTTCCAGAGGTGGCAGGTTCGAATCTGAGCCGTGCGGTTCTTTTTAAAACAATGACATAAAATGAATTTATTAAAAATTACTATGTTAAATTAAAAATTAATTAAAAGAAATTAATAATTAAAAATATTAAATCATTAAAAAATAAGGACGAATTAAATAAATTGTCATTTCAAACACGTGGTGTAAGAGCTCGTTGCCACAAAAAATAAAAAAATAATCGTAGCCACACAATAAAAACGAAACTTCCAAAAAACTTAAATTCTGAAATTTCCATTCACTTCTACTTCCACTTTCAAACAAACACTTCCACTTCGAAACCACTCAACTCCACTCGACAACATGGCGGTACTTCCGGTCACGTGATCCAAGCCACGCCCCTTTTCTGTGACGTCACTTCCGTAGCACGAGTACGGGCGGTTACTACTTACGGGTGATATCCTCCGATTGAAGGCATTCGCTTACAATGTTTGCACGGTGAGGACGGGCGTTGTCATCCATAAACACAAATTGTGCGCCCACGGCGCTCCTAAACAAACGTACATGTTGTTTCAGAATGACGTCCCGATAGATTTGGCTTGTCATGGTTCCAATTAGAACATGCAGATCAGTTCTGGGACCCAGAATAATTCTAGCCCAAACGAGTTTACCTGGACCACCGTAACGGTGTCCTTCAATGATGTTTTTTTGTGGTAACGGGTACCTGGAGCTCTCCATATGAAAGTCCAGCGAGAATCAGACTGCAAGCTAAACCTGGACTCGTCGGAAAACATCAAACAAGCCCACTGTTGCGGTGTCCACAATGCATGCTCTCTACTCCAGGCTAACCGCAGGCGACAGTGAGTTGCAGAAAGTGGAACGCATCTGACAGGTCTATGAGCGTATAGACCAATCTGCCCTAAGCGTCTGTACACGGTCTGCCTTGCAATTGTCGTACCAGTGGCTGAAGAGAGCTGACGAGACAGGTCTGAGGCTGTGCTCCGCCTCTTTCGTTTGTCAGTAACTGCCAAATAAAGGTCCTCATTCGGCGTTGTAACTCTGGGGCGACCCGTGCTGTAACGTCTACTCACATTACCATCATCTTGGAATCGTTGCCAAAGCCTGGAGATGACACTCTGAGCAATTCCAAGTTCGTCTGATATCATCCAAATCATAAAATCATCCAAATGAGTCCTTTGTGTCATAACTATTCGGTTATTGCACTGAAATGCTTATAAAGCGCCTGCGAACAATTTTCTTCTTTACCTGTATTCCTTATATATCACTCTCTTACACTCTCGTCATTGTGACGTACCATAGGTGTCACCTGGTTACTTCCTGAAATTTTCATATGATTTTTGAAGATGTGTGTAGTGATTTTACAGGTGATATATTTATTCTAGAGTTCGACTTCCGCGTGACTCCGAATTATCCTTAATTTATGGACATGAGTGTATATAAAGGATTTCAAAGTTGTTTTGAAATCTATTTATCGTCCTCTGTCTACGGTGAACATTCAATTAGTGGTCAATATATCTTGTCAACGGGAAAGGGTGCCACACCGACAAGTAAGAAGGTTCGAACGAGGCAGCATCGTGAGTATCAGTAAGTAGTATAGCCAGCGCGTGGACTTTTCACATCGAAGCAATCGCAGCTTAGGTGACTTACCTGATTGGATGACACGCCGTGTTTCGGCTTGTATATCTGCCACAGGTGGCTATACTACTTACTGATTTGTAAATGTTTTGTGCCATAACTCTTAATAAAACAATCTTTTGATCTAAATTTGAAATCATTTTTTTATCTCCTCATACACTACATACGTGCTACGTTTCGTGGTAATAGTTCGTTTACTTCTGGGTGCATATACTTTTTTCTGACAGAGTATACATATATATATATATATGTTACTGGCAAAGAATGAATGCCATCACTCTAAAGAATACTCAGGCATTTTATAGAATGCCGAAATCTGGCTGACAATGCATGGAACAATAAGCATTTCGCACATTTCCTGGACATTCTAGAGAATGCAAAATGACAAACCAGAGAAGTATTAAATGTTAGATTGGTTTAGAATATCCATGCATTTAATGTACTCACATATAATGCATGTATTTAATACATTTATTCATAAATCATTATGTCATTAATATATAAGGTATTTCTCCCGCCTTCTTAGCATGCCTTCGTGGTGTAGTGGTCAGCACGCTCGACGCGTATTCGAGAGTTCCGTGGTTCGAGTATCGGCGAAGGCATTGCTAATTTTTCATCTCTCCTGCTTGCAAAAATTACCTAATGCCTCTACAGTAGCGCCCGAACTAGAAGATGGTGGATGATGATTCTCTACCACCAGGATTTGGCGACTGAGTCCTCTAATCCCCAGTCGCTTTTTAAAAGGGGGAGCATATAAAGTAATTCTCCTCGCATTTTCAGCATGCCTTCGTGATATAGTGGTCAGCACGCTCGACATACATTCGAGAGGTCCGTGGTTCGAGTCCCGGCGAGGACATTGCTCATTTTTCATTTCTCTTGCTTCGAAGTAGCCTAATGTCCTACAAATATATGTAAAAATATATGGATGCAGTAAGAAATTATTCCGTCTAAAATGCATTTTTAAATTTGTAAGTACGTATAATCATAAATTATAATCGTAAACAAATTCTAACTATAATAGGAAATTAAGATATTAAGATTTAGCAATAATTTCTATAAGTTCTTTTCTTGCAGTAACAGCACATTTTGTAGAAAATAACGTATGAATATTTTGTACCAATAGTTTGTTGTTTTATGCTTCTTGCATTCGCAAAACACAAAAACATTCCTTATCTATTTACCACAAATATTAATCCCGTTTTCTTTCGTGGACGTAAGTCTGCTTTCTTTTCATTTTTGAAAAGGAATATATATGCTTGCAACTCCTTCAATTTCCTGATCTTGGGTAGAGCTTCTTGGTCGATTCAGAAAACAAAAATACTCTCTGTTTACCTACGATAAAAGGAAGCTGTTTTTCTTCAGACTCATAAATTTCACAAACTAAAAATATTCATAAAATATATATTCATAATATATTGAAATAAATATATCATAATATTATTTATGATAAACTAAAAATATTCATAAAATATATATAAAACTAAACTCAGTGGCGCAAACAGCCCTAATGGGCCAAGGCCTGCAATGCCCTGAAATCTGCTATCTTGACTATGGGCCCCGAGTGCATAAGCATATGCCCTGAACAAGTGGTCAGCTTGTCGCAGGACCCCCAGTGTTTAGTTCCCAAGCGAACTTGGTACTCATTTTATCGACCCAAGGGATGGAAATCAAGGGATGAAAGGCTGAGTCGACCTTGCCCAGCACAGTGTTCGAACCCCGGTTCTGTGGTGCTGCTGCGCGATGCGCTAGCCACTGCGCCACCGGGCCTCATAATATATATATATTCATAAATATAATTTGACCATAAAATTTATTTATGGTGAAATTTGTAAAATATAAAATATTTATAAAATATATTATATTTTCCAAATTCAACCACAGAAATCATTTCTTGTTATTTCCGCATTTTTATATTGCTACATTATCTCTCACCTATCAGTATTTTACAATCAAACCCCTTACAAGTTCACTTCCGAAGCTGATTATACTATATTACTAGTAACCCTTTTGTTCTCTACCATATCGAATAATTCCTTAAATTAAAGTGATTAACTAACTAGCCTTTGTTCTCTACAATGTTCTACCCTCGTCTTCAATCCCCAGTTATCTGTCTGTAATAGATCTTGTTAATTTATCCAGAAAATACAGATTGTTAATTTATACTCATTGTTAATTTATCCAGAAAATACAGATAGAAATAATTTTTTTTTATTTATCCAATGATCTTATACTGCTTTTAATACTTCTCATTTTCGAAAACATCACTTGTACACATAAGCATTGATCAGCTGATAATATCCTCTCCCCACTCATTTTTTTCTCTTTACTTTTCTTTTTCCTTTGCCATTTTTTCCTCTTCGTTTTCCTTAATCTTATTATCCAAGAGGCTGGCGCTTCTTCATTAAGCCACTCCTCTCATTAAGCTACTTTTAACTGAGTAGGTTTGGCATGTAAACCTACTCAGGAGCCTGCTCTTCTCAGAAAACATAAACTCATAATGGAAAACTGCAGACACTGGGACGGGACCTTTTTCAGGTCACCTAGTGCACTACTGATTCCTACCAAATCTTCAGTACTGACCATCTTACTTCTGAGTGTCTCATTGTATGATACTAGTGCTCTTGTGCAGCATGTTAGTGTGCTGTTTAGTGTGTGTATAATAGAATCATGTACATAAACACTCTGAAGTAACTAACGTATCCACAGCAACTTTATGTGTAAAACACACCAGGGTAAATGTTGTATGTGAACGATGTGTTTATATATATATCTGTATCATGGTAGAACTGGCCTGTAATAAAAGTCAGTGCTAAATGTTTGAATATCAGTTCAAAATGCTCAAGTTTCAGTAAAACACCAACAAAAGTTTCTATTAAGATCC